GTAAAACCAAACTAAAAGCTATCCCAGAGCTTTAGAAAGCATTTCAGTGCCTTCTCTTTTATCAGTGTGCTCCTTTAAATTCATGATTTACGGAAGGGAACGAAGTAGCTATTTTACTCCTTTATTTCTATGTGGATAAAGTTATTTCAGAATTTGATTGCTTTAAATACTCAGTTCTTTTGTGCTGCAAACTGTATACTAGCCAGACTGTCTCTTTCTCTTGCAGAAATTTGAAATTTGATTTCGAGGCAAATGCCAACCATGGGAAATACAGGTTTAAGTTAACTACTATTTTAAAAATTAATATATTTTTATTCTTCAAAACACATGCTTCTTAGTCTTTATGACACTAGTGTTTGAGTCAATATATAATCAAATGAATATAATAAATTATAGTACTATGAACTCCAGAGAAATTTTATTAATGTTTTTAATGTATCCTCATGTGGAAACAACATATGTTTTTTATATATTCATAAATTTATGACTTCAAAAATCTTTAATTTCAGGGTGTTATGAATGTTGTAATGGATAGAAAACACATAATTGTGAAATGATGTTTTTGAATTTTCTTATACTCCTGATAACCATTAGCTCTTGCATATACTAATTAGAATGAAATTAAAAACTTGTAAGTAATATTTCTGTAGCTCAGCTCCTTTGGGCCAAAGGAATTATTTCCAGAATAAGCTGGCAGGTTCCTTCTTGGGGAATTAGGACTCCAATGTCCTTAATTTTAAAATAACTTGCATTTCATTTTATGCCTTTTTCATAAAGTAGTCATTCATTTTCATACGAAATTGTAACCAAAGTACGCTACATCAATAGAGGCCAGTCAGTGGGTTTAGTGTGTGTTAGGTTGGACAAAGTGAATGTTAAAATGAATAGAATGTTAAAATGGTGGCCAGATGGTTGGGTTTTAAAAACCTTACTACGGACTTGTAAAGGGAATTACAAGATAATCAGTTATCTTTATATGCTTCTTTATATCACATCCTGGTATATAGTGGGTTCACCATAAGAAGATGTTGAAGAAAGAATGAGTTCAAAATGGTGCTTTGTATTTTGGGAATTCATGAAATAAAATGCCCTCTTTTCCTCCGCACTTTACTGTAGTTGTAGTGGGATTTGTAGTGGTGATGTACTTACTTTTTTTAGATTTTCATGCTCAACACTCAATATGCAAGTTAGTGACTCCTGGATACTCAGCTTACAATCAGGACATAGCAGTGACAGTGGGGTGTAGACTATGGCTATATGGTAGGCTGAGACACAGACGTAAGATACCTTCAACTGGCATGCTCTTTCCTTATCTTTTAGTTTTAAATTTCTTTCTACAAAGGTAGTTTTTTAACTTAAGTAGCTAAATAAATAAAAGCAATTAAATTAAATTAAGCAATTACTAAAGATGCATCTGAACAATTCTAAAGTTCCAAAACACTTTTATAGGAAACACCGTTTTTGTAAGTTTCAGTAGTTTTTGTGTCCCAGTATTTCCATCAATTCAAATATTCTCTTGAACTGCGTCTCTCTAATTTGCCTGCCCCCTTGAAATTAGAATCAAAGGCTTTTTAGGGCTATACATCAGCATATCACAAAAGGCTTTTGGTTATCACTTCCCTAATGTTTTAGCAGGTTTTTTTTTTTTTTTTTTTTTTTTTTTTTTTGGTTTTTGGCTTTTCCAAAATAAGCAGAGTAATTTAAATTACCCTCTCACTGTTCCTGTTATTTCTTTATTTTTCTTTTATCCACACTTAAAAAACAAAATGAAGTCAGTTATGTGAGTGAACAACCTTGGTCCACAGGCGTAGCCATTGTCTCCCAGTGGAATGGAGTAATTTCACTTTGATCAGTAGAAGACTTCTCCACCCCAAATACAATTTTTCTGCCAGCCTCCCAGTTTGGTGCTTCTTGAATGTTTAAAATTTGATGTAGTCTTATCAAGATTTTAATAAATTTTAGAATACTATACCTATGACAAGTCAAAAAATATATACAATGTTAGAGAATATTAAGACTTGGTCAATCCATTTTGATTATCTGGGAAGATGTTCTAAACCACAAGTTGAGAAGGAGCAGCTCATTGGATACATTGTCTTCAAGTATTTAGGTAATACTTTTGCAGGCAGCTATAATGCTGTTCTTTTCACTCCAAACTTATTTCTTCCAAAGCCTTCTAACTCCAACTAGAGATTGCACCTCCCAGAAAACACAAGATGTGAGAGACTGGGTGTATGTGCTGCAATTGGAACAGAAAGTGTAAAGTGAGTGTGGCATGAAATGTAAGTGGAGAAGGGTGAGTTTGAGAAGGACTGCAAAGAAAAGGAAGTCAGTTTTAAAAAGTGTATCAGACAATAAAGTATAACATAATCACTGCAGAAAAATGAAATCAGTCATGTGGGAGAATATCTGTAGGAGATTTATTGGAAGCACAAGAAAAGGTCATAGAAGATAATCAAGGATAGATTGATATAGAAATAATGGGTGTAGAAAGAGGGAGCTCTAACCTCAGAATTACAGGCATTCCTGGAACAAGAGCAGTGATCAAAATCATAGAATAATCAGCAGCACTGGATAAAAACCTTGAGTATTCCATTCAAAAGAGCTCACCATTTTCAGTCAAAATTGATGAAAAGCAACACACAACTCTTGTACTTCAAATACTATCAAAACAAACAGAAAAACCATAAGTTTCCAGGCAGAAAAATAAAGCATGTGCAAAAGAATAAAAATCAGACTTCTCCTCTGCAAGTCCAAGTGTGGTCAATGAAGCACATCTACAGTTTTAAAGAAAAATAATTATGTAAAAAATAATGCCATATCTTGTTACATTGCCTTTCCTATGCAAAATATGAATGTTTGATGACATCCAGCTATATATCCTTCTTGAAAAAACCCAATTAAATAATACTTAGCCAGCCAAGAGATAAAAACACATACATAAAAAAGTCATATTATAAAAGGACTGGAATTTGTTATTTACTTCTGGATCTGTGTTAAGTATGAACAAATATGAAAACAAATATAAATATAAAGATGTTTAACAAAGCATTTTTAAATTATATGAAAAGGAACAGACTCAGGTGTCCTGCTTCTAGGTATTTACCCTAGAGAAATGAAATATATTCACACAAAACCTTTACATGAATGTTTATAGCAGGCTTTCTTTTTCATAATTACCCCAAACTGGAAACAACTCAAATATCCAGCTGGCGAATGAATAAACAAAGTAGTGCACATACATAAAATAAAATGCTACTCAGCAATGAAAAGGGAGTGAACTACTGGTACAACGACTGCAACAAGAAGAATGGATTTCAAATGTATTATGCTAGAAAGAGTCAGTCTCAAAAAGGTGCATACTGAATGATTCCATTTGTATGACATCCTGGAAACAGCAAAATTAAAGGGGCAGAAAACAAATCAGTGGTTGCCAGGAGCTGAGGGTGGGGAGAGTTTGACTACAAAGGAACAACATGAGAGCATTTTTGGGGGTGATGGAATTGTTGCAAATATTGATTGTCTTGGAGGTTTCCCAAAACTCATAAAATTGTATACCCCCAAAAGTGAATTTTACTGTATCTAAATTTTTTAAGTAGGGAAAAAAAACCCCAATATAACTGCAAAAAGTAATGTCCTTACAACATGTGAATATACTTAACAAATATTGAACTATACAGTTAAAAATGGTTAAGATGATTTTATGTTATGTGTATTTTACCACAATTTAAAAAATTAAATTCAAAACTACCATAAAAATAACACCTGTATAATGGACTATTAGTAATCATTAAAACATTTTTTCCAAAGACTCATCAGTGACGTGGAAGAATGCTTACAATGTTAGATTAAACCAAATACAAAGCTGTATCAACAGTATGATTTGTAACTCTGCAAATAATCATGGCAGAGACACTGGAAGATTAAATGCCAATATATTATTAAGAGTAAAAGTCTTGGTGATGGGATTTTAGATGAGTGATTTTCCACTTCTACACTTCTTAGTATCTAACTGGTTTTCTTTTAAGAGTAAGTTTTTCTTCTAAGAGTAAGTTCTTTTAACTTACTCTTTTTATAATTGATAAAAATAGAATACTCAGAAAGTATATGCAATTAGTCATATATTGATGACTATCAATCATTTCATATAAGCTCCTATTTAAATCGTATCAGCAAAAAATGATTTTTTGTATCCACTCAAATTCTTCTATTCTTACAGCACTGAATACTTTAAAATACAATTGAAATAGTGTCTATGGACTTTTAATTCGAGATGATAATTTAAGCCTGTGTTTAGCTTTCCTCGCTCCAAAGGTAGGAAAGTACCTAAAGGATGGAATTCCAACCACCCAAAAGAAAAGGCTGCCTGGAGAACGGGTGGCGGGGCCCCAGAGCTAGGGGCCGGAGGGGAGGACTGCTCATGTGGCAGTCTGCTGTAGGATTCTCAAACCTCCCAGTATTGGCATCTCAGGAAAGCTGCCGCAACACTATTGCATAGCATCTGTTTTTAGTAAGGCCAATGTCTGAAATAAAATAGAAGCGTTGCCTCAAACAAATATCCAACAGAGACAGATGTACTAATTAGAGAAGGTCCACAGAGGGTACCCAGCTACGTAAGTAAATAGGTTGCTACTGTAAGCGGAGGAGAGAGATTCACGAATGCTTTTGCTGGTAGCTTCTCTTTTTTCCGCACAGAAAAAAATTCGTATATGCACACTTTATACACACACATTGTACATTAATTTTAGTGGCTATATGGACCCTGGGGTAAGGTTAGTTGATTATTATATTAATCAACTAAAAAATTCATTCTCTATTTAATGTGACACCTCCATGAGATGTTTTGGCCCCCTGGTCCTTGGAAATTAGTTTCTTAGAATTTAAACTTTGAATCTTTGAGTTAATGTGCATTAGTAACAAGTGCCTTGTTTTTGCTCTTATTTTTCTTTTGATGCTTGCCATTTTTATGAGATCATTTTCTTTTCTTTTTTTTCCTTTAGGAATTGCGAAGGGCAGAGTATTCGATATAAGACATGCAGCAATCATGTAAGTTCTATAATAAAAATACATAACCCCGTAAAATCATGTTTTAAGTTATAATATTATGTGACTATAAAACTAATGGTCTCTTGGTAAACTGTGGAAAATTTGAGTATTTGTTTAATTGACAACAGCTTTTGTGTATCTAATACCTTCCATTTATACTTCCTTTTCAGGTCATTTCATATCTATGATCTAATTTGATAAGTATTTAATAACTTCTGAATTCACAGAAGCAATACAGAATACCTGTAAGCTCTTTCAGTGTTCAGAGTGCTTTTACGTCCAGTAGGTCACCAGACCTTCATGCTTTCTCCCAGATGTAGGCAGGTGAAGTGGGGTTATTTCTCTTTTGCAAATGAGGGGACTGAGGCTGAGGGAGGTAAAATTATTTTCTGAATGTCACATAAAGGTACAGACTTGAACTGGTCTAGTGCTTTTTCTACTACTCCAAACCACATACTGTGCCCACTGCAAAATAGGATAGGTGACTCATCAGAAAATCATACAGGAGAAGGGATTTATACAACTTTACTTTTATTCTATGTAAGTCAACACTAAAAAAAATTCAAATATTTTGCTTTACAAATATGAAAATGCAAAATACACATCAGAAGGAACCAGTCTCATTTTCTACTCAAAACATTTCCCTTATTAGTGACATATGCCCAAATCAAAATGACAAGAATTAAAATTCTGAGAATCTGGAGATCTCATATAAATGAGATTTAGTATTTTTTTTTTAAATCCATTTTTCTCAGTTGGCTGTAACTAACTTATTTTGAAAGTTTCACTTACTGGGACACTGTCCCTCTTTCTTCCTTCTCTGTCCCAGGCCAGTATGAAACAGCAGTCCTGGGGAAGTGTTTCTGCTCTGTGGACCCAAACTCTTCCTCAGTGGGCAGCTCCCCCCACCCACCAAGTTCTAGACAGGGGGAGTGAAGAGCAGGCGGTGTTAGACCTTTTGTCTGCAGACCTCAAGTCAAGTTTTTAGTCCATTTTACCAGTGATGAAGTTGGTATTTTTTATCCTTATCTCACAACTGGTTCCAAACTCGGATGGGAAAAATGGGGCTTATTTATTGGGCACTCAGACTCCAGTTATCACCCTGCCCTGAGGGAGCCAGATGTTTGTCAACCAGGAGGAATTTTGGGAGACAAAGCAAATGGGTTTTGCATCTCCTGTGACAGGATGGAAGTCAGAGGAATTGAGAGACGCACTTGCCAGTGAGTGCTTAATCAAATGGGGCGAAGTCCAGGTGGGGAATATACGAGGAAGAGAGTGGCTTGAGCACAGTCTAGCATTCCTTCTTACACGAGCGAGTGAATGCATTAGCAAACTAAGAGTTTTATCCCTGAGGCTTTTGGACCTACTCCCTTTTTAATGGGTGCATTATTATTATTTTTTATTGCTGCTGTAACAAATTACTGTGACTTAGTTGGCTTAAAACAACACAAATCAATTATTTTACAGTTCTGGAGGTCCAAAGTCCAGCACAGGTCTCACTGGGCTAAAATTAATGTGTTGACAAGGCTACATTCATTCTGGAAGTCTAGAGGAAAATCCGTTTCCTTGTCTTTTCCAGCTTCTGGAAGCTGCCTGCACTGCTTGGCTTGTGGCCACTTCCTTCATAGCCAGCAATGTTGCATCTGTCTGACCATTTTTCTGTAGTCACATCTTCCTGTAACCACAGCTGGGCAAGATTCTCCACCTGGATAATCCGAGACCTTCCTCCATCTCATTTTTCTTAGCTTTAGTTATATGTGCACAGTCCAGTTTGCCATGTAAGGTCACATATCCACAGGTTCCACGTATTAGGTCATGGACGTTTCTGGGGTGGGGGCAGTGTATTATTCTGCCTAACGCCATAGGATGGCTAAAGTCTTTTTCAGCAAACTGGTATGCCAAATTCCTTGTAGTCATTCAAGAACAAATTTCAAAACAGGCTGCTCTCCAGCAATACTCTGTGAAGCTATTTAAGGGAATTCATTTAAAACCCCAGATCAAGGTGTTACATTATGAGATTTCATTTTAGGATTTCTCTTTGTGTGTATCACTGCTGTAGCTAATTCCACAAAGGTACCTTCTGTCAACACAAGTGTTAGAGGTGTCTAGGAGTGCTGTATTATGGCATACAGTGTAGAGGTAAAATGTAATCTGCCAAAATCGGTGCACTTTAGGTGCAATGGTTGGGACTTTGGTGTACTTGAGTGAAGATATGATGCCCTGAGGCTCCATGGGTCTTGGGAGTACCTGCAATCTCTAAGTGATGACCCCTCTGGGAGCATACTACAGAAATCTTTACCACCTCAAGGTTGGTGAGAAATAGATGCTTGGGGTGGCAGAGGGTGGAGTATGATAATCCTGCCCCTTTTTAGTTTGCAGAGTTGGAATCCTTAGAGAGATTTCATAAGGATATAGCATCAGTTGCTATGCTTGCCTTGCAAACTCAGAATTTGTAACGAAATTCCTTCTTAAGGCTGTATTAGCCCATTTCTGTTACTTATAACAGAATACTGGAAACTGGGTAATTTATAAAGAAATACACTTTATTTCTTAGAGTTTTGGAGGCTGGGAAGCCCATAGTACAGGTGACACATCTGGTGAGAATGGACTGAGCAAGAGAGCTAACCTTCTTACTCACTCTCCTTATAAAGCCATCAGATCCACACCCATGACAACCATCAACCATTAAACCGTCAGCCCATTACTCCATGAATGGATCGATCTATTCATGAGAGCACAGTCCTTGTGATCAAATCCCTCTTAAAAACCCCATCTTCCACTGCCATATTGGGTGTTAAGTTCAAATATGAACTTGGGGGAACACTCAAACCACAGCAACGGTAGTAATGGAGAGTCATGGCGGCCATAGTGTTCGGAACACCCCTCTGTCTCCATGTGCCACAGTATCTACAGCTGTGCATGCCCAAGCTCTGTGGCAGACCAGAGGTGGATAAATGCAGCCCAAGCGCCAGTGTTAATGATCTGTGTGTTCCTGTACAAGAGAGATTATACAAATACATTCCTGAATATATCATAGAAACGTTGCAAGGATGTCAAGTGCCATAAGTGGAGGTAACCATAATGAACTCAGAGTACAAATATAGCCACATCTTTTTTTTTTCTTCGTATAATTACTTGAGCTGCTTCCTGCTTTATTAATTGGGATTCAAAATCTCCACCTCTCCATCACCCAAGGTAGTCTAAAGAGCAGGACTGGGGACCAGTCTGCAGCCCACCTCAAGTGGAGAGAGGCGTTCGGATCAGGGCACCCCCGCTGGTGCTTCTCACTGCCATTCAATATCCTTACTGAAGGCTGGCCACACTAGTTCAATTGTCAGTGGCTTTTCTTTTCCTTGGAATTGGGGCTAATCACCCAGTCTTTTGAAGGAAGCTGCCTTTAGTGATTCTAAGATAAGGAGCTCTTTTGAAGGAGACTTGCCTCCTGATTCATAGATGCCCACATCTATATTTCTGGGGGCCTTAGAGCCCTGTTTTATGTTGAATATACTAATTATCCTGATTTGAACATCCCATATTGCACACATATATTGATATTCAGTGCTGTACTGCACAGATATGTACAATCAACTAGGTTACAATAATTAATAAATAAATAGGAAAGAGTTCTGTCCATCTCATCAGCAGACACACACACACACACACACACACACGCACACACACACACACACGCACACACACACACACAGATAGATTCCAGGCACCAAGGAAAAGATAGAATGTACTTTTATTATGATGTCCGGTGTCTGGATGTGAGAGGGACATGCATTCAGAATACATCAATGAAGAAATTCCAACCCCTGGTGCACAGGAGACCGTGCTTCAAATGGCAGGTGTGGGAGGCATGACCAGGACACAAGGACAACACTGCCGTCCCCAAGAAATCGGACTGTGGTTCAGTGGCTCTCTGACTGCCACCCTCACTCCCCGCCCCGGTTCATCCTCTGCCACCCTCACTCCCCATCAGGAGTGATGAGGCTTTGGCTTTGGGCCTGAAAGACAAGGGAACAGACCATGCCTATGTGCAGTGCTTTGGTTCCCAGGGGACATAATCCTCTGATCAGCACTCAGCATATATCCTTACAGCCAGGGCTTGGCCTCTGGGGCCTTGATAAAGAAATACCCTTATCAGGGGTATATCAGAGCAAATAGGGACTTTCCGAGAGAAGTCACGCATGTCGGTAAGGAGGTCTACACTTGAACTCACTGACTGTTCATGTTTTTTTTTTTATACCAGGGTTTATAGGATTACAGGCAGTACTGGAAGAGGCAAAGGGAAAATATTTTAAAAATAAGTATATCACAGTTTGGTAAGAGTGTTTTTGTAGCATGGACACATTTTATATGAGCACTGGGGAGGCCTGGCTAACTCCGCACAGCTCCCTCATGGCTTTTCAGAAGAGGTGACATTTGCTGTGGCCCTCGAAGGATGCTTCATACAATGTGTCCTGTAAATGGCTAATTTCTGACAGTTTTTCATTCCATATTTTTTCTTGGAGCTATTCTTTTCTTTCTATTTCCATTGCTCCTACTCTAAAGGTCCACTTCCTCTCATATCTGTCTCCAGATCTCCAGGCCATCCTGCTATCCTACTGGTCCTCCTAAAGTGCCACCTTCTCTATGTCACTCCCCTCTGGACCCTTATTGCTTTTAATTCTCCTCACTTGCATTCAAGGACCCTCAGAAATAGGCGAGACTTGGGCCGGCCTGTGGCTCACTCGGGAGAGTGCGGTGCTGATAACACCAAGGCCCCGGGTTCAGATCCTGTATAGGGGATGGCCGGTTCACTCACTGGCTGAGTGTGGTGCTGACAACACCAAGTCAAGAGTTAAGATCCCCTTACCGGTCATCTTTTAAAAAAAAAAAAAAAAAAAGAAATAGGCGAGACTTAATCTCTTATTCAACCCACAGCTGTCGCCCTCGCTGGACGAGGCTGTGTACCATCTCTTCTAGACACTCCGTTTATTTCTGTTGTTTCTCCTTTGCTCGTTGTTTCCATATCTTTGCCTATTCATATCACACCGTCATTTAAACTCCATCTGAGATTTCACTTTTCCACAATGCCTTGTTTTGCTAACTCTAGTTTATAGTGGCTACCTATAATAATTTATTTTTATGCTAGAAATTTTGTTTGTTGTATAAAAGGATCACAAAATTTAACTCATACTACAACTTGAATATGAAGATAAAATAAAAATTTAAAATTTGATTATAAGAAAAACAGTATTTTTCTTGAGTAATTACTCACTGATTTTTTGGGGGGGGCAGGATCATGAGTAATTACTCACTGATTTTTTTTGGGGGGGGGGGATTAACTAATATCTAATCTAAATTAAAGTTTGGTCCAGTCCTATTATGTAAATAGTCTCTTAAGTAATGGTCTAGCTCTCCTGCATAAAAATAGTCATTGTATTAGATAATCTCTCTGGCTTGGCTTCTCACCTTCACTTATCCACATGTTTTACACATCCCCTTGGTTTTAGGAGGGGAAGGGGAACCTATTTAACCTGTTTTTGTTATGTTCTGTAATGGGTGCTAGTTGTCATCTGCTGGCCTTGGCAATTGCCTCCTTCCTCTTTTCCTCTCGCTCCTCCTCTCCCTCCCCTCCCCCTCAGTCAGTCCCCCTCCTGCTGTCCCTCCTCCTGCCCCTCCTGCTTCCCTCCCTCCCCTCCTCCCTCTGCTCCTCCCCTCCAATCCTCCCCCTCTCCTCCTCTTCTGTGCTTCCCAGGCTGGCTAACCCCCTCTGACTGACACTTCTTCTTTAGATATATTAATTACCTCTATCAGGTTAGAGTCAAGTCTTGCTGATCCAGGATCTATTCTTTCCTTATTAACTCCCTCTAATCAATTCTACAGTTTAACTCTTGGATAACGGTTTTGTTTCCTTCACTGCAGTCCTACTGCAATGCCAATAACAATGCTCTGTTTCAATGAGTTTCATGAATGGAGGTGCTGTATCTCCAGTGACAGTGGTGGATTATATTTTTCTTTTGTGTTCTCCACATCATGTGACCTAGGGCAAAGCCCATCAAGTATATTTAATAAATAAGTGCTGACTTGAACTTAACTGATGTAAAAAAAAAAAAATGCTTCTCAGGGAAAGGAAACAGAAGAACATGTAGCACTGAAGCTTCCTAAATCAACTTGGCTATTTAAGATACAAGAATGCCTAGATTGTCCTGAGCCAGGGCATGGGGTCCAGCTGAGCCAGACTAGGCAGCTTAGTGTCGACACTAGAGAATGTGAAGTAAATGAACACATTGAATGCAAGTAGCCCATGCCCTCAGCTCACTAGAAAGCAGCGTCATATATGGAGTGCTTGTTACTGGGGGAGTCACTCTTGACTCTGTTATACCCTAGCTGTGTGTCTTTGGGCTGGTGGCTAAAGACTTTCTAGGTCACAGTTTTTATTTATAAAACACGGGTAATGATAATCCTTTTTAGGTCACAGTTTTTATTTATAAAACAAGGGTAATGATAATCGTGACCTACCTGGATCAAAGGGTGGTAGGGAAAAGAGAATGTCAGTAATAATCCCTGACAAACTAGAGAGCGTTTTCCAGATATAAGGCTGTCTTAATTAGGGATTATCCTGTGCTAGGAACAGAAACCCACTCAGATTAGCTCAAGACAAATGGGATGCACTACACGGATGTGTGGGTGTTAATGGCACTTAAGCATAAGCAGGCCTGGAGGGCCTGGAGCCAGGAATCAGAAAGTGAGGACCACAGTTAGTTACTCCTATTAGAACGCACGGTTTACCATCATTCCTCTTCCCTTCTCCTCTAATTCATTCTTCTCTGCTGTGGGAACTGGTTTGCTTTGCTTCCACATGCATCTCATAAAAGAAATGGTCAGCCCAGCCCCAGATTAATGTAAGTTCTCAGCTCCAGTTCTTTTGTTGCAATTCCAAATTCCTGGGAAAGACTGACTTGGTGTGGATCAGATGTCTTCCTCTGGATAGTCAGCTGTGGCCAAGGACTCTGGTCACACGGACAAACCTGGTTACCTTTTCAGCAAGGACTACGTCTCTGCTGACATCCTAAGCTGTCTTCTGTTAACTCTTGTTTGTTTTGTGAAACTTCATTGGTTTATGGAGCTTAAGGCGTCAGCCAGTACCTTCAGTCCCTCGGGGACACTTGCCACGTCAGTGAGCCTAATGCCAGGGAAGCTGCTTGCACTCTCCTGTTATGCACTTTTCTTTGGTTTCAAAGAGTCACATATAGAAAATACTGGCCATGGCTGGGGGAAGAGGAGATGGTATAATTTTACAACTGATGATCTTTCCTATGGCCAGATGAAGGATAAAGTCCTCATTTCAACAGTGGGAAGTCGTCCAACTTCAGTGTTCTTCTGTTTGACTTGCTTCTGTAGGTGTGACCTGGGTTAAGGTTGAATTTTGCTAACACAACAAAAATGTGGACACAGTATAGGATTTTAGAATGTTTCACAACAAAATTATACAACTAATCCCAGAGGAAAGTTTGTTAATTATATTCTATTTATACCCTACCTACTTCCCAAAAGGAAGAGAATTTATAAAGGCCAAAAGCATAAACATAGTAAAATGCAAAAGTCAAGTAGTAAAAAGGGGGAGAAATGAAATAAATTATATTTGAAAATCCTGGCTGATAATTTATTAATAACTATTTGTGGAAAAAAGGAAAGCTAGATTTCTACCTCACACCGTTCATCTAAATAAATTTTAGATATAACAAAGAGTCAAATATGCTTGCTAATCAATAAAGGAATTAGAAAAATACATTTAAGTATTTATCTGTTCTCAGAGCAGACTGAGAAAAACATTTCTAAGCCCATTAATGAAGAAAGAAACCTTGAAAGGGAAAATTAATAGAGCTGACTACCTAAAAATTTAAAACTTCCTGACTTCACAGAGTACCAAAACCAAAATTAATAGGGAAAAACATTTCCAACACAAATGGCAAAAAGTTGATAACTTCACTATGAAGTTTAATAGTTTTATCTGCTTAAAAAAAAAAGACATTTTAAACATTCCAATAGATAAATGAATAAAGGACATAAAACAAGAATTTTTTGATTAATTGATACAAAAAGCAAATACACATGAAAAGATATTAAACCTAAATAATAAAGAGGAAATGAAAATGAATATAATGAAATTTTATTTTCCACTTCTGATTGGAGAAAAATTTAGAAAATTATAGTATCCAAACTGGGAAGAGGTATTGAGAAAGAGAAACTTACATAGTCTAAAGTTAATAATACCTTTCAGGAAGGCAATTTGGCAATATTTTGAATAGTTTATAAAACATGCATAAACTTTGACTCAGAAATTTTATTTCCAGAAACTAGTCCTTGGAAAACAATCAAGACTTGTGTGAAGATTTAGATATAAGAATCTTTGTCATTTATTCTTTTTTTGAATAGAAACCATTTCCCCAAGTTTTTACAGTGAACATTTATTACTTTCATAATAAGAAAAAAATGTAAACTAATATATTGCCTTTTCTGTATCTGTTTTCTTTAATTAGGAAGTTTGGGTACCAAAAGTAGATTTTCGATGAGTAAAGTAACATTTTTGTTATTCAGCATCTTGCTTTGGAAATGTCTGGAAGGAGGAATCAGTAATTTAGTAAAAACACCCCTGAGTCACCAATACTTGTACAAGCAGTTTTTACTGTTATTATGAGAGTGCCGTAGGGCATTTACTTAGAATTTACTTTTGTTGTAGACAGAATTTGAACAAGGTACATTGTCTGCTTTTATTCTACAGCCAGTGGAAGGCAGGTACTTGGTACCAGTGCAGAGCAATGGGCGAGGCCTGACGAGGGAAGAAGGGCAAGTGAATTCAACAATAACAACAACAACAACAACAAAGAAACACACACAGAGCACAGTGGTTTTGAGATAGTTAAAGAAAGGGCAAATAATTCTTCACATTGAAATGGCTCCTGAAGACATGGATAATGATTAATGTTTCTATGAACACTTTGAATCACCTGGAAAAATTAAAAGCATTTAGTTTCCCTTGTTTCAAAAAGAAGGAGGCTATGTAATTCATTTGAAGATTTATATCCAAGATGGTTAAAATAGGGCAAAATTTGGCACCTATGTATTATAATTGTAACTATCTATCTGAAAAACATACCTGGGTGGAGGAGTGATCAGAATAAATGAGATGGTCCCCTCTATGGATCATTTTTGCAGATCATTGTTAATTCCACAGCTTTGAATATAAAAAAAAGAAAATAAAAAAACAACAAAGGAATGAGGTGACACCCAGGAGGGAGCAAGTGGGGTCTGTTCTTATGGGATTCTGGTGAACTTGCTCAGCCTTCCATTGGCCCCTCTCACTGGGTGACGCACATGTGGCCCTTTCTCTCTGCCTCCAGGACTGCCCTCCGGACGCGGAAGACTTCAGAGCCCAGCAGTGCTCAGCCTACAATGATGTCCAGTATCAGGGACATTATTATGAATGGCTTCCACAGTATAACGATTCTGCTTCACCCTGCGCACTCAAGTGTCACGCGCGGGGACAAAACTTGGTAGTGGAGCTGGCACCCAAGGTGCTGGATGGAACTCGTTGCAATGCTGACTCCCTAGACATGTGTATCAGTGGCATCTGCCAGGTAAGCCACACCTGCCACCCATGCCTCTGGTTCAAGGATGTGCCACGCCCACTCTCAATACAGAGAATCCTTCTGTACTTTTGTTCGTGCAGGTAAAAATATTGCTTTTGATCATTTTAATATAAAAAAAATTTTTAGAGAACATTACTAGCCTTTAAGTTATGTTTTAATTATTTTAAATAGTGTAAATTTTGCCCATGTAGAATCAAGAGATTGCTGTATACCACTTCTTGTGATTGTGCTGGGTCAGTGATTCTTTAATTTGAGCGTACATCAGAATTCCCTGTCGGGCTTGTGAAAACACAGAGAGCTGGGCACACCTGCAGAGTTTCTGACTTGCAGGTCAGGGGGTGGGGCCCAAGAATTTGCATTTCTAACAAGTTCCTGCTGGTCTGGGACCACGCTTTGAGAATCACTGCTTTGGCTGGTCTGGGACCACGCTTTGAGAATCACTGCTTTGGAAGGGTAATACTGGAAGGTTCTTTGAGCTTTCTTATTAAAATTAATTCATTGTCTTTGGGAGCAATGATTTATTTACTGAAAAACTAGCATGAATGCGTTCTAGCAGATTTTTCAGAGTAGACTTTGCAAAGCTGTGATAAGTGTGACTGAGACGTGGACCACAGTGGAATGAGTGTGAGGATTCCGGATACTTATGACAGGTTGCTGAGACAGTGTGGGGACAGTAGGAAACTGGTAGGATTCCACCCGCATTCTTCTGATCTCTAAAAAATGTTTTTAAAAATAACGAATGTCTAGTATTCCACTTACCATATTACGCACATGACAAAAACAGTAGTAACAACAGTCAACAAGTAACCTACCCTCCTACTAAAGTATCCTGCACTACCAGGAGTTCAGACTTAACACACTCAAACGTAGACCTTGATCTTGCTCCTCAAACCAGCTTCAACTTTGCTCATTCCTTTGTCAAGTTGCTTACCCCAAAACTTTGGTGTCATTCTTGATTCTTCTCTTTCAACCCACATATCTAATCCATTGCTAAGTCCTGTCAATTATTCCTCCAAAGTCTCCTTTGAATCCACCACGTCTTTCCATCTCTACTGACTTCTCTCCTAGTCTAAACCCCCATCGGCTCTGACCTAAACTACATTAGTAGCCTCCTTTTCTGTTCTTCTAGCTCCCACATTGTTCCTTCAAATCCATTCTCCACATAGCAGCCAAAGTGATTGTCTTAAAATGTAAATCACAGCTTGTCATTACTCTGCTCCCCCCAAAACCCCACAATGGCTTGTCATTGCATCAACAACGAAACCCGGGGTTCTTGGCTGACTTTCCAGGCTCTTCCTGCATTATTCTTGGCCCTTGCTTTTTAAAATAGACTTAATTTTTAGAGCAATTTTAGGTTCACAGCAAAATTTAGTGGAAGGTAGAGTTTTCCATATACCTCCCTGCCCCCACATGTGCACAGCCTCCCCCACTATCAACATTTGCTATCAGAGTGGTACAGTTGTTACAACTGATGAACCTATATTAGTACATCATTATCACCCCAAATCCATAGTTTACATTAGGGTTTACTCTTGGTCTTGTATGTTCTATGGATTTGGACAAACAGATAATGGCATGTATCCACCATTATAGAATTATACAGAGTAGTTCACTGACCTGAAAATCCTCTATTCTCTGCCTATTCATTTCTCTCTTCTCCCAACCCCTGGCAACCACTGATCTTTTCACTGTCTCCATAGTTTTACCTTTTCCAGAATGTCATATAGTTGGAATCATACAGTATGTAGCCTTTTCAGGTTGGCTTCTTTCACTTAGTGATATGCATTTAAGTTTCCTCCATGTCTTCTCATGGCTTGATGGTCATTTCATTTTTAGTGCTGAGTAATATTCCATCGTGTGGATGTACCACAATTAACTTGTTCATTCACCTGCTGAAGGATACCTTGGTTGCTTCCAACTTTGGGCAATTAGGAATAACACTGCTATAAACATTGCGTGCAGGTTTTTGTGTGGACATAAGTTTTCAGCACATCTGGGCAAATACCAAGGAGTGTGCTTGCTGTAACATATGGTAAGGGAATGTTTAGTGTTGTAAGAAACTGCCAAACCATCTTCCAAAGTGGCTGTACCATTTTGCATTCCCATCAGCAACGAATGAGAGTTCCAGTTGCTCCTCATTCTTGCCAACATCTGGATTTGGGCTATTCTAATAGATATGTAGTAATATTTTGTTGGGCAAGGTTTCTAGTCAGATGTTTTTCCCATTATTAAATTGTATTATTTATTTTCTTGTTGAGTTTTAAGAGTTCTTTCTATATTTTGGATAACAGTCCTTTATCAGATATATCTTTTGCAAATATTTTCTCCCATTCTGTGGCTTCTCTTCTTATTCTCCTGAGGTGTCTGTTGCAGAGCAGAAGTTTTTTTATTCTAAAACAATTTAGCATGCCAATTATTATTTCCTCCAGGGATTGTGCCTTTGGTATTGTGTCTAAAAAGATCATACACATGGTCACCTAGGTTTTCTTCTATGTCATCTGCTAGAAGTTTTACAATTTTGCATTTTATGCTTAGGTCTATGATCCATTTTGAGTTAATTTTATGAAGGATGTAAGTCTCTGCCTAAATTGATTCTTTTGCATGTAGATGTCCAGTTATTCAAGCACCATGTGTTGAAAAGACTGTCTTTTCTCCATTGCATTGCCTTTGCAACTTTGTCAAAGATCGCTTGACTATATTGATGTGAGTTTATTTCTAGGCTCTCTGTTCTGATCTATTGATCAGTGTGTCTATTTTTTTGCCAATACCATACAGCCTTGATTAGCTTTACAGTACATCTGAAAGTTGGATAGTATCAGTCTTCAAACTTTATTCTTCTTTAATATTGTGTTGGCTTTTCTGGGGGTTTTGCCCCTCCATATAAACTGTAGAAGTAGCTTGTCAATATCTATAAAATAACTTGCTGGGATCAGGTTAGGAAGAACTGACATCTTGACAATATTGAGTCTTCCTATTCATGAATATGAACTGTCTCTCCATTTATTTAATTCATCTTTAATTTCTTTCATTGGAGTGTTGTAGTTTTCCTCATCCAATTCTTGTACATATTTTTGTTAGATTTATACCTAAGTATTTCCTTTTTGGGGCGCTAATGTAAATGGTATTGAATTTTAAATTTTAAATTTTACTTGTTTATTTTTAGTATATAGGAAAACAATTGAATTTTGTATATTAACCTTGCATCCTGCAACCTTTATATAATCACTTCTTAGTTCCAGGAGGTTTTTGTGGTCAATTCTTTCAGATTTTCTACATAGACAATCACATCATTTGTGAGCTAAGACAGTTTTGTTTCTTCCTTACCAATCAATATAAGTTTTCTTTCCCTTTCTTGTTTTATTGCAGTAGCTAGGACTTCTAGGAAGATGTTGAAAAGCACTGGTAAGAGGAGACATCTTTGCTTTGTTTCTGATCTTAGCAAGAAAGCATCTACTTTCTCACCATTAAGTATGATGTTAACTATAGGTTTTTTGGTAAATATTTGTTGTCAAGTTGACAAAATTCCCCTCTATTTCTAGTTTGTTGAGAGTTTTTATCATGAATGGGTGTTAGATTTTGTCAAATGCTTTTTCTGCATCTATTGATATGATCATATGATTTTTTTTTCTTTAGCCTGTTGTTGCGATGGATTACATTAATTGATTTTTAAATGTTGAACCAGCTTTGTATACCTGGGTTAAATCCCACTGGGTTGTAGTGTATAATTCTCTATATACATTGTTGAATTCAATTTGCTAATATTTTGCTGGGGACTTTTGCCTCTGTGTTCATGAAAGAATAAGTTAGGAAGTATTCCCTCTGCTTCTGCCTTCTGAAAGAGATTGTAGAGAATTGGTGTAATTTCTTCCATAAGTATTTGGTTGAATTCACCAGCGAACCTATCTGGGCTTGGTACTTTCTATTTTGGAAGGTTATTAGTTATTGATCCCGTTTCTTTAATAGATACAGGCCTACTCAGATTGTGTTTCTTCTTGTATGACTTTTTGCAGATTGTTTCTTTCAAGGGATGATTCCATTTCATCTAGGTTATCAGATTTGTGGGCATAGAGTTATTCATAATATTCCTTTATTATCCTTTTAACACACATGGGATCTGATGTGTAGTGATGTCTCCACTTTCATTTCTGATATTAATATTTTGTGTCTTCTCACTTTTTTCTTAGCCTAGCTAGAGACCAACTAATAAAATATCAATTTTATTGATCTTTTCAAAAACCAACTTTAGGTTTCATTAGTTTTCTCTATTGATTTCCCATTTTCAATTTCATGATGATGTGATGATGGCTTTGGGTCAAGGTCATGGACCTGTTTGGTGGCTTCCTGTGACAAGAGGCTGTGACCAGGACTGTGTAGACTTCAGATTTAGAGAGAACTCCATTCAGATTCTGTTTCTGCAATTAATTCAACTAATTGGTTAAAGACCACTTGGCTACTTTCTTACCATCTCTGAGCTGTGACCTTTTCAATATATAAAAGGGAGTTATTATCCTCCTTGTAGGTCCTGTTTTAAATTCATTCTCTTGCAAGCAACATTCCAAGTGCCCAGCACAGTAGCTAGCACACAAGAGGCCTTCAGTCAACACTAGTTGACTTTTCCTTGCTTCCTTTCCTTGCTCCTTTTTCTTTGCTTCCAAACACCAGCCACCACCCCCTTCTCTTAATCATTGTCTAAGTTCAGTTGCACAGTTTGCTCCAGTAGTTTCCAGGGCTTGAAGGGGCTTGCAGAATAAAGGTGGTTTTCAATGCTGAGTTAATTTATTTTAAATGAGTGCTTCATATCATGTTTTTGTCTTTCTGATGGGTAAAACAACTCTTTGCACAGTTAGGGGTGATATCCTGGTTGCTGAAAGGTGAGTGCTCCTTTGGCCAGGCTATTTGAGTAATATAATAATAATCGTATGTACTTACTCAGAAAGTGACTCACACACTTCTCAATTGAAGTCAGTATTTTCCTTCGGCAGGATAGTTCCTGTTCTTGTGCACTGTGGCTGTGAACATCAACAGCCATTAGGGTGAGAGAAAGTAAACTGTATCATTCTTTCTGCTGGCCTCAGGATCACTAGAATGAGCCCTGATGGTCACTTGGCACAGACTACAAATAATTTTTGCAAGTGTGTTTACAGTTTTCTCATTTAAATGAACATGTCACAATGCTCTTGGGAACAACTTTCCATTAGCCTGAGCACAGCAGACAACGTGAGGCGACTCTGCTCACTGAATGAAATTTGCTTCTGCTTCTGCTTTGGAGGTCTGATTTTTATTGGAGGCAGGACCCGGTTGGACCGGGTCGACAGAACAAGTCTGATTTCTCATTCATGTTTATTGAATTCCCTGATGGCTGGGTAGATGAAGAGACCACTTAGAATTTATAATAAAAATAATGCTAACCAACACTGGATGCTTACTAGATATCAGGCATTGTCTAAGCACCTTACAGTATGAGCTCATAATAACGCTATGAAGTAGGTACAGCAATTATTCCCACTTTGTTTATAAGGAAACTGAAAATTGAAGAGGCTAACTAATTTACCCAGGTTACATAATATCTTAGTCTGTTAAGTTTGCTTTCAGAAACCATAGACTGGGTGGTTTATAAACAATAAACATTTAATTCTTATAGTTCTTGAGGCTGAGAAGCCTTAGATCAAAGCTATGGCAGATTCAGCATCTGGCGAAGGCCTGCTTTCTGCTCCGCACGGCGGAAGGGACAGGGAGGTCTCCAGGGTCTCTTATAAGGGCATTAATCCCATTTATGAGGGCTCCATTCTCATGACCTAACCACCTCCCAAAGGATCCATGTCCAAATACCATCACATTGGGGGTTAGGTTTCAACAAATGAATTCTGGGGTGACATAAACATTTAGTTTGTTACACATAGCTAGAAAATGGTAGAGCTGGAATTTGAACCCAGGTGACCTAGTTCCAGTATCCATTTTCTAAACCATTGTGCTATATACTGGTGATACGTTTTTGTCTTGCTGCAAATATAGCTGAGGTTTGTAACTGAAAATAAGATGTGGTTCTAGTCAAGGACAGACAGTACAACAGGTGAATCATACATAGAAAAATTAGTATAGGGATTAAAACTCATATGCCTACATGCACCCCCAGGAGGGAAACTGCTCAGGTGTAGTCATAGTCAGTGGTGAGGGCTATCATGAACTTCTTTGTGAAGGGGGCAACTATGTATAAACATATAAGTTTTGTTTTGATTGTTGGTTTTTGTTTTTGTCAAGAGAAGCCAGATATCTGAGTTTCAATGTGAAACTTAGAATTTTAAAAATCACCTTGCCGTTAATAACCCTCATTTTTTTATTAATGGTTAAATTGTACTATTGTATAATATAGGCTAGGTTTTCTGGCAATAACCAACGACCCCCAATGCACATTGGCTTAAAACAATTAAAGATTATTTCTCATTAATGCTGCTTGCCCAACATAAGTCAGCAGGGCTGCCTGCTCTTTGAATATCTCAGAGACTAAGGCTGAGGGAGGCTTTATTTGGACACATTTTTTACATAGTAACTGCAGTAGTGAAAAGGGGAACATGGGACTCATGCACTGACCCTTAAAGCTCCTTGTAGAGCTGGCACAGATCACTTAGACTCCCATTTCCTTGTCCAAAGACAGTCAATGACCACACCTAACTTCTAAGGGGATGGGGGGAGCGCAGTCCTTTTGTGAGCTGAAGTGAGAAGCTAAATGTTTGTGAATATTCGGAATGACTCTAATTTTTAAGGCAGAAATGTTAGAATTTTTTTGTAAGGTAGAAACCAATTTTCAGAGATCTCAAACATAAGTTAATTCAAAAAAAAATATTTGGTTCTTGAAGGATGAAATTTGACTTACCTGGAAAATTCCTATTTTCCTTAATTTGGATTAATGAAACTTATTTAAATACTATCTTCTTTTAGCTGATTAGGAAATCATATGGAGGAACTGTGAAATGATTCTTAGCTGAAGTGGTGATTTATAGATGACTATTTACTCCAGAAAGCAATGCTCGTATATTTAAAATATTTGTTTGTGTTAGCTCCCATCTTGTGTAACTTGTCTCATTAACTGTGCTATAGGATAAGAATATTGTCTTATTAATTCATACTCCATAGTGCCTGGCAGTATAGAAAATGGTTATTTAACAGATGTTAATAAATTTTATTGATGTTTATCAATTAGTAGTTTATAAATGCCTATAATTAGAGATCCTGACTTCAGGAAATGTCACAGAAGTTGAAAACACTTCAGGCAATTTTTTAGAAGTTGCTTATTTTTTATTTTGATGGGATATGAAAGTTGAAATTCAGTAGTCCCTCAATTTTGAGGGCAGTTTTGGTTTATACCCTATGACTCACAAGGCAACCAGACCTTCTTTTCAAATATCATTTTCCTGTGATGTTTTCATATGCTTTATTTGGCCTTTAGATTTGGATGAATTGTAACTTTAAAAATTCGTGAAGCAATGTAAGTGCTCAGGGAGGTATTCGATTGCCCAAGATCTTGCAAGGCTCTAAACACTGTTCAAAACAAGCCCATCCTTCCTCCTAAACCCACACCCTTCCTGGATGACCAGATAGAGGATGATTCTTATTCTCATGAAATGCAGTGTGCTCAGGGACATGAATGTGTGGGCCAGGAACAGGGTTTCTATAATTTAATGGTGGAATTGCTCCCCTTGGAGAACGTTGCATCAACACAAGTTACTCATTGATTGAATCCCAACCATGCGAGTGTGTTTCCAAAATCAATCACTCTTAAGTTATTCCACATGTACTTGTAAATATTAATATAATGGTCTATGTAACTGGGTTCTTTGTTAATGCTAAAGGTGGAGGAGGGTGTAGCATAAGTCTTAAGATTCTAGTGTCAGATGACCTGGGTTTTAAAACCATTACTGACACTATATACTAGCTGTGCATTGTTGGCAAGTTATTTAACCTCAGTAATGTTTAGATTCCTTATTTTTAAAATGGAGATGAATATATCACATAAATCATAAGATTGCTGTGAAGATTAAATGAAATAATATCTGCAATGTACAAGACACAATGCCAGGCACGTGTAAACATTCATTAAAAATCAGCTATTATTATTATTTTATTACTATATTTACGAAATTATATAATCAGGGTAAAAAGATCTCAAAAGTCACTGGATTCAGCTACTCATCCAATAATTTAATCCTCCCTACAGTTTTACTGCCAAGAAGTCTCCTAGCCCATGATTGAATACTTATTATTGGATAACTCTGATTTCTCAAGCTTTCTGTTATTGAACTAAATTATGCTTAAACCTGTAGCTTTCACGATTTGGAAATACACAGAACAAACGTGGACAGCCCTTTGAAAATGTCTCCAATCCCAGGCTATTCCCTAAATCCTTGGAACTTTTCTTACCTCTCCCTGAAACTTTCATTGGATCTTTCTCCTTCCCTTCAACACCAAAATTTTGGTAAGAATACTCTATAGATATGCTTTTAACTTTTCTCCAGTTTCATTTTCTCTTCAACACCTCGGGTACAGAGTCTGCTTCAGCAGCTCCCCAAGCTGAAGCGTAGGGACTCCCCTGTCCACACACAATGTAAAACAGAGAGAAGTAATAAAATTGACCTTCTTTAACTGAACTCTGTATAATGCTCTAATCACTGTACTAAGAGTTTTACATATGTTTTCTCTTTTAATCCTTACTAAGACCCTTTGTGAAATACATATTAGTACTATTATCTCTATTTCACTATTGAGGAGAATGAGCCTGTGAGAGTCTGAACTGTTCAACATCCTGCAGCTTGAACGGGGTGGTAGGTGGGTCAGGATTTGTAAGGGGGCTGACGGCCTCCAAAGTCTCTGCCCTTAAATACCAGGTTTGTAAATATAAATAAAGTTGGATGAGTTTGGGGAGGTGGATATAAACCATCAGGTCAGTTCATATGAGTATTATTGGGCACACATTATGTAAAAGACATATTTGTGAAATGAAAAGAAGTATAAGACACAGCCCTTTTTCTCCTATAAGGAAGCTCACAGTCTAGCAAATACACACACACATACATATACCTATGAAAAATAACTCATAAGAGAGGTGGAGATATGTAGGTATAGATATAGATAATGATAAAGAGAAGGAGATATAAAGATATACAGTAGATACAGAATATAGAGAGAAATGGATACACACACGTACAGATATTGGTACGTGGAGACAGAGATAAAAACAGAGAAAAACATATTTAAGGTAAAACTATGGACCAGAAGGATATACATCAAATTCAGTGTAACGGTGGCTTGGGGGAGAAAATGAGAATAGGACAAGTGTAGGGGTGGGGAGAGAGTGAAGGTCTGAGGGGAGAGGGGAGAGAGCAAACATCATCTGTAGTTTCCATTTATTTTATATACGTAAAAACATCTGAACAAAAGTATAAATAAAAAAAGAGAAGGGATAAGGAGGGATAGTTTCAATTCTTCTCTTTTAATTTTTGGGGCCTTGTGTAAGAATCATATAAATGATATACTGTGAGACTTCATATCATTCATATTTGTTAAACTATGCTCTTGTTAAAGAGAGCCAACCCATCAATTTCAGAGGGACAGCATCATACATAAGGTGCGTGAAATCCAGGCAGTTCCCCTCCCCTGTGTGTCCTCTCGCCGCTGACCACCGTGTTTCTGTCGCAGGCCGTGGGCTGCGATCGGCAACTGGGAAGCACCGCTAAGGTGGACAGCTGTGGAATCTGTGCTGGCAATGGCTCCACCTGCAGGCTCGTACGGGGACATTCGAAGTCAAACGTTTCTCCCGAAAAAAGTAGGTTTT